GCAACTCAAAAAGGTACCTCGGCAACGTTAAGTCTGCATAAGAGCCAAGTGCCCGTCAGACCAGAGCTTATCTCGGTTTCTGTAGCATGAAGTTACTAGAAACATTTCAACTCCCCCCTGGATGGGATGCTAGTCCATTGCAGGGTTAACCCCAGCCTTAAATTCTCTGGTACCCATTGGCACACCTGGGCGGAGAGGGGCATTGTGAGAGTTAAGTGTACCTTGACATTGGAGAAAGAGTGGCGTTTTGCCCTAAACGCTGAAATTATGCTAAGATTGGCAATGTACGCCCCTAAACGAGACTAGCCCCGTCTCCATCAAACAAGAGTTCTATCCTTTATAGCTTCTACAACCCTTACCTTCTGTCAGATTACTTCGCACCAGAGAAACATCTTCAGCGTGAGCTGTTTCCAGTTCGTGTTGAACGACTTTGATGGCTTGAGCAAATGTCAAGATATTCACTGCAGCTAGAGCCTAAGAGACACGTTAGTGCGTTATCCAAATCGCCTCATTACACGACTAGGTAATGTAAAATTGGCTTATTCGTATAACGTTGTAGAGTGTTTTCCAATTAAATATCTCAAAGCCAAAACCAAACCAATTACTCACCAATTAGACTACTCAACCAATCTCAAACCGTTGTAAAATCAAGACTAAAACCAAAGTAATTGTCTGATTACTATCGACTCTCAATTGAAAAACCGCTCTCTCTCTAACTCGTTCTTATGACGTCATCAACGCTGGTGAGAACGATTTTTGTTGGATTTGAGTCACTCATTAGAGTATTATAGTAACGTACTTTATCCACGTAATGACAGTAATCAAAGTTGGGAGACAAAACGTATTTAGAGATACACTTGATGAGCAGAATCATTAATAGTAAGTCTGTCTCTTTATAGTCGAATACAAACCGCACAATTCAGAGTTATACAGTTAAGGATCAAAAAGTGTATCGCAATTAATAATCTGTCATGTGCAAACAAGATTGTCGTGAAACAGGAACTCTGACTGAAGGTACAAAAACAGAATCGACTGTTGGTCTTATTCTATGACGAGTTCGTGATATATTATCGGCGAAGACAGGATCTTTGGTCCATGAGCTTTCAGAGACCGGAAGATCATATCGATTCGCAAAACAGTAATAAGCTAAGACGTTCTTTAAGTGTTCTTAAATTAGTTTTTAAGTTCTTCGAATTGAAAAAAAAGGTCTTAACTTACCATGGAAAACACAGCTACAAAATACGTTCCCATTTGCAAATCAAAGCAGAAAAATCTTCGAATAATACACATCCACGCCATCTTTTTTTAACTCTAAGGATTAAAATCAGTTTTCGTCTGGCTGTAAAACCGAAAAAGAAGTTTTCTGGAGTATTGGCTTTTCTCCTTAACTGAAAATCATTTCACAAAACACGAGAACAATACTCGTTTATATTGATTCTATGCAGTGCTTAACCACGTTACAGAAACAATCTGAAAATTTCCATCCCTTAACTGATTGCAATGCAATCTCTTTAATATAATGGTAGCTCGGAGAATTTGGTGGTGATCAGGATGATAATGTCTTTTTGACGAATTTCTAAATTCCCACTTCTTCTTTGTTTGGCAATGTATCGGTAAAGGAAGGATACAATATAACGGGTTTAGTCTATGAGTTGGATTACAGCGAGAACTGATTTGAAGGTAAATATTGATGTGAAGGTAACATAATATCGCTCACGCAATTCAAGTCACGAAAAGTTAAGATCGGGGTAAGCTAACAAAAGTATTTCTCTCTTGTCAGTTGTTTTGTTGCTGGCCTCTATGCAAGCGTGGTTATAACCAGTAGTTGGTAGTTTTTATCTTTTAAACTAGTTCTTATCTCATTTTTAAGCATATTCTAAAGTTTATACATATTTTTTTTTCAATACTTAGCAGGGTCTCCATTGATAGCAGTTTTATTTATAGAGCTCACAGAGTTATCCTGAGAAAACAAAGGGTTTCTTTACTTTACTATTGGCTACCGTAAAATGCATGTTAAGGCCTATAATTGTCTGGCCTTCAAACGACTAAAGCCTGGAGCGATTTCACTAATGGTTGATGTGCCAGCAACAACAAAACGTGTCATTTTATTATAAGTTTCATTATGTGACTTGTTTTAAGAGAAAGCCGGTAAATATTTTTTCTAGCTTTGGAGTATAACGCAGGCCTACATTTACTGGATGTCTCAAAAATATCTTTAACAACTTTAATATGAGTGTGTCATTAAGGTGAAATTATTCAGTAACAGATCTATTTCTTCAGTGGCCATGGAGTAGGTGAAAAGCCTGACTTGGCCGTTCGACATGGACCAGATGAAACAAACATGCTTCATTCCCCTTGCAACGCTCAATTTACTCTCGTGTGATATATAATTACAAGTTTTAGGTTTTTACAATATCATGTCAACATGTCAACCAACTGTCTTTAGATGTCCAATGTTAATTCTTTCCAGTCTCCCGGTCAAACAGGGCTTTAGTTTGCGTGATCAGTTTTAACCATGTTTCGAATAGCACCCTTTAAAACTCGTTATACAGCTGGAAATCCCTTAAAAGTCTTTGCGTGTTCCATTAAAAAGACAAGACCCCGCCCTCCGTGTGTATATTTTTATTGTAGAGTCAGACGATACAATACTTTCAGGCACAATCAGGCACGCGAATTAGCGAAATTACTCGTCGTGCACTGTGTCAGAAGAGAGCGATAACCAACATAGCA